TGATAGTTCGATAATCGAAATAATAGATATAGAAAATATAAAATTAATTGAATAAGATTTAATCAAATCAATGAATTTATTAAAAAAAAAAGAAAAAAGGTTTTCCTCGAGTCGTGCTATCCCGCGCATGTTTACACTCGCCCACGCACACACGCACATATGTATATATATTAAATGCGTATAAATTAATTTAAAGTTATGATTTAAGGTGTTTTGTCGCGTAAAAGGAAAAATTGTAAAATTTTATATATATATATATATAAAGTTACTGCGTAGAAATTTTCCGCTCCAATTTTTTTTTTTTTTTTTAGAGACCAAAAATGTAACAATTCCACCCTTTTAAAACCACGTCATGCATCCTTCTTCCACGTATTTTTCGCGCTTTCTTAAAAAAAAAAACTTTTCTTACTTAATCCCGTATTTTACGTAATATTCAACATTACCCCCTCCCCCAAGGGAAGAAAAAATTTTTTTTATTAATTTCCTAAAAATTTTTCATTAGAATTTTTTTTTTTTTACTTTTCCACATGAATCAAAAGAAAATAAAAACAATATGGTAGAAATAGTTATAATGATAATTTTTTTTTATTGTCAACAAAGAAAAAAAAATTTTTTCATTTAATGTTAAATCGTAAACAAACTGACGATCCGCCATTTTTTTTTTTTTTACGTCAAACCTTTAATCCATCGGATCAAAGTTAATGATCAATCAAAAATTCTTAATTAAAAGAATAAAAATAAAAAAAAATAAAAATTTCCAGAAGTTTTTCTCCCGTTTATTGATCATGGAGGCGGCGGCGACGGAAAAAAAGCATAAAGAAATAGATTTTTTTTTACTCTATGAAATTTAAATAAAAATTAAATGAAAACAACAACAGAAACGGATGATAAAAAGAGAATCAATAATGAAAAAATTATATAAAAGATTTCAAAGAAATATAAAATATAATAATAATAATAATAATAATAATAATTGTAAAAGAAGGAAAAGAAGAAGAGTAAGAAAAAATAAAAATAAGATGAAAAATAAAGAAAAAGAAAGAGGAGTTTAGAAATAAATCTTGGGACAAGAATTAAGTTGACAACATAAAGAAGAAACCCTGATGAAATGAAAATCCAAAAAAGAACTCAATGGAAACAAGTGACAATGAAATATTGGAGGATTGAACAACCGAGGAAAATAATTTAGAATAAAAAGGAATCAACTGTCGTCTGATGCCACGATCATGTTTTTCTTCAACTTAACATTTTCCTATATAATTTCACGTTTTTATTTTATACACATATATATATATATATATGTATATATATATATATATATATATATATATATATTGTTATGATCCCGTACTCAATATTCACATTTTTCAAATTTTTATAAACAAAAGACTGGCGACGAACTCAAATTGTTCTTCTTTAGAAGCGAAGCTTCTAAAGACTCCTTCTTTTATTTTATTTGCAAGTGTTTGCTCGAACATTCGAAACAGTTGACTGACGAAAGACCAAAGTAATATAGGCAAGCTACACAGCTTGGCGTTGGTTCATTTTGATTTTTAGTCTAGCTGTAATAAGTTCTTGTTTATTAATATTAGTTTTGTGATAGTTTTAAGTGCTTGTTCATTACTTACAAAAATAAAGAACGAACCGAATATAACATATTAAAATTTTGGCGCAGTCGATGAAGGATCATTCTGAACGACAAGAAACCGGAGAATTCTTAAGTAATTCGTTTCATGTTGGTGGGTTTTAACTCTTTATCAGAATTTCTTTATACTGTAAGTAGTAGTTAATAGGTAACTCATTTTGTGAACAATGCCTAAACTTGATCAACCTGTTTTCGACCCATCCCAAATATCCCTTGAATTCTTGTGTAGTCTAATTCCTAATTTCTTTTCCGGAGAAAGGAACCAACTTAACGCATTTATTGAAGATTGTGATAATGCTATCGAATTGTCCTCTGAAGAGAATAAGTATCCACTCTTCAGATTCATCTACTCCAGAATCACTGGTAATGCCAAGAATCGAATTTCTTTGTACTATTTTGATAATTGGGATGACGTAAAAACGAAACTAATTGAATTATACCAAGACAAGAAACCCCATAGTCAACTGATAAAAGAATTGACATATCGCAGACAAAAATCAACATGTATCCACTATAAAGATAACACAATAAAATTGTGGGAAAAACTTAAAATTTTAGAAGTTACAGAATCCAAACTTGAAGTTAAAGAGAAAACAGATCCTTTACCAGAATCCAAACTTGAAGTTGAAGAGAAAACAGATCCTTTACCAGAATCCAAACTTGAAGTTGAAGAGAAAACAGATCCTTTACCAGAATCCAAACTTGAAGTTGAAGAGAAAACAGATTCTTTACCAGGATCAATTCCTGCTCAAGAGGAAAAAGCACCCTCTACAAATTTATCTAAGAGAAAGGCTAAAGAAGCACCCTCTACAAATTTATCTAAGAAAAAGGCTAAAGAAGCACCCTCTACAAATTTATCTAAGAGAAAGGCTAAAGAAGCACCCTCTACAAATTTATCTAAGAGAAAGGCTAAAGAAGCACCCTCTACAAATTTATCTAAGAGAAAGGCTAAAGAAGCACCCTCTACAAATTTATCTAAGAAAAAGGCTAAAGAAGCACCCTCTACAAATTTATCTAAGAGAAAGGCTAAAGAAGCACCCTCTACAAATTTATCTAAGAAAAAGGCTAAAGAAGCACCCTCTACAAATTTATCTAAGAGAAAGGCTAAAGAAGCACCCTCTACAAATTTATCTAAGAAAAAGGCTAAAGAAGCACCATTACTTCCTAAAAATAAAAATAAGAAAAAAGGTCTAAAAGTAAAAGAAGAAAGATCATCCATACAGAATTCAAAACCTAAAAATCATCCTAAAGCTGAAATTCAAAAGGAAACAAAAATTTCAAATAAAAATATAGGAGCTACTAAAAAAATTCACAAGTATAATTTTGGGAAGCATACTAAAAAGCGGAAATGGAATTCCAGTACCAAGAAATCTAGGAAGAAAGCATCCATTCTTATGTCAACCGATTTTCACGAAGAGAGTATTCCTGAGGTAAAGCTATTTTTACTAAGTAAAGTTCACCTATCGTCTAATGAAAAAGAGAAGATTCAAACCAGTCAAAAATTAGCAAGAGGAAATCTAAATAAAAAACTTAGTCCTGAATTTAAAGATCCATACGAGGTCAAGAAAATATCTGGCAAAAATGTTTTATTAAAAATCCGTAACAAGGAAGTTACTTATCACAAAACCGTGTTCTGAGTAGTTGATCTAAAGCGAGAGAAATCCAAAATAATAATAATTTAATCCTTTTATTTTCCCATATAGCTAATCATCATTTATTTTATTATTAATCCATTTATTCTTTTCTATGTACCCTATATAAAATTCTTGTATTTTTCAGAACTTATGTCAATTTTGTTTCGAATTTCATGTCTCTTGATTTTATTCTTTTATCTTTACTCTTTATGTAACATTGTTCACTAACGAGTATTGCCTAGGAAAGGTTCTACTACTTGCAGCTATAAAGCTTAAAATTATGTTCCTGATAAGAAGCCAATGTGAAGAGATTCAACAGTCTACCATACAGAAGACATAGCACCTACTACTACTCAAGGAGTCTCAACCTGGACGGAACCATTCAGAACCCGACATAGGAAGCTGTCAAATCCGAACAAGAGGAGAAAACAAATTCTTTTTTCAAAATAATTGTTTTCCGTCTTAAGGGGGGAGGTGTTATGATCCCGTACTCAATATTCACATTTTTCAAATTTTTATAAACAAAAGACTGGCGACGAACTCAAATTGTTCTTCTTTAGAAGCGAAGCTTCTAAAGACTCCTTCTTTTATTTTATTTGCAAGTGTTTGCTCGAACATTCGAAACAGTTGACTGACGAAAGACCAAAGTAATATAGGCAAGCTACACAGCTTGGCGTTGGTTCATTTTGATTTTTAGTCTAGCTGTAATAAGTTCTTGTTTATTAATATTAGTTTTGTGATAGTTTTAAGTGCTTGTTCATTACTTACAAAAATAAAGAACGAACCGAATATAACAATATATATATATATATATATATATATATATATTTTTCGAATGTTTTTATTTTGGAGATTTTTCCAACCAATGGCAAACGTAACCGTCACCGTCACCGTCACCACCACCATCGTTATCATCACCACCGTCAACGGCTCGTTCCAAAATATACAAAAAAAAAAAGACGAAATCTAAAAAAAAAAAAGTTCTAAAACGTGTCTTCTTCCTCCTACTTATTTACCTTAAAATCCAACCCCCCCACACGCCCCCCGCCCCCCACCATTATTCCTCATAGGATACATTAATTATTCTCCATAAAAAATAAAAATCTCCAGTTAGCTTCATGGAATTACGTACGCCAATTAAATATTTCAAAAAATAATTATTAAAAATTTCAATTGTTCGCCATTTTTATTTTATTTATTTATTTATATAAAACACAATTATGTAAACATACATCATCATAACAATAATAATAATAATAATTAAACGTAATAAACTGGACAAAAGAAGAGAAAAAAAGGCGATCGAATCAAAACTGGAGTAAAAATTTAATTGTTGTTATTTTTCCTGTTTTGCTTATGTCAAATCTTATTAACTCTTATCAATGAAGAAACGAACCTCTTGAGTTTTTGCTCATGGAGAGAGTTGAAAAGTCGTCAAAGTCAAGGATCCAATTTTTTCTCCAGGTCTCATGCGTCTAATCAACTCGCATTTAATTTGATTTTTTTTTTTTTTATTTATTTAATTCTCAACGGTAAATTTTTTTTTTTTTTGATATTGGTATGACTGTTGGACAAAAAAAAATATTTAGGCGAAATGTGTTGTTTTAACGGTAAAATAAATAAAAGAATTGAATGAGAAACGATTTCTAATGGTTGGAAGCATTAAAAAAAAGATGTATTGCTATCAGATAAGGTCACAATTATCCAGAGAGTTATAAATTTTAAAATAAAGACATTTTAATTCTGGATAATATATTAACCATGGGGTCGGTTTCGGATGTACAAAAAGTCAAAAGGTTTACAATGTTTGGCCAAGTGTTAACGTAACAGTTCCGGTCACTAGAAAACCCTCTTAAAGATATTCTCTTCTTTTTTTCTATTACTTTCTTTCTTCCTCTCTCTCTCTCTCTCTCTCATCGAATTATAATTTTAAGAGTTTGAGGTTTTGATACGCACGCACGCACACTCACACACACATGCAGAAAAAAAAATTATCATAATTTCATTGATATTTTTTTTTTTTTTAAATTTTATTTAATGACACGGCAAAAAAATAGTTTTTTTAAAGTAACTCGAGTTATGTTCGAATGAGTTTTTGTTTTAAAAAAATGAGAGGAAAAGAGAGAGAGAGAGTGTGTGATAAAACCAAAGAGAGTGAAAGTAGAAGAAAAAAAAATGAAAAGCAAAATGGTACAAGAAAGCAAGAAGAAAAATGAGCAAAATAGCAAAAGTGGGAGAGAAAAAAAATTAAAAAGAGGAAAAGAGAAAGAGAGAGAAACAAAAACAGAAACAAAAAGAGGAAAATAGGAAAAGTGAAGAGAAAGACAGAGACAAAAAGAATAAAATAGCAAAAATGACAAAGAAAGAGAGAGAGAGAGAAACAGAGAGAGACAGAAAGAGAAAAAGAAAGAGAGGGAGAGGAATAAAGAGTGACAAAACGAAAGAAAAAAAAAGAAAACAAAAATATTAAAAAAGAGAAAATATTAAAAAATTAAAAGAGAAAGACAGAGAGAGAGAGAGAGAGGAAGATAAAAAAAGAGAGAGAAACAGATTAATAATTTAAAAAAGAAAAAAAAAATTTTTCATAAATACATAAAATCAATTAATTATTAATAAATTTAAAAAAAAAAAAAAAAACAATTACAAAGGAAAAAAATTTCTCTTTTCTCTTTCCTTTTCTATCTCTCACTCTTTTACTTTTCCTTTTTTCCTTTTTTTTTCCAATGATTAAAAAAATAAAATTTTAAATTCAGTTAGAAAATTTTTTTGTAAAAACTTTGATTTCAAAACTTAATTATTATTACTTGTTAGCCCTCAATCTCTTTTATTTCTTTTATAACGCCCTATTTTCTTCTCCCCTCACCTCCCTCCCTCCTTTCTTTCTACCTTTTTCTTCCTCCCTCTCTCTCTCTCTCTCTCTCTCTTTCTTACTCTCCCGCATCCATGAAATTTACTTTCAAAATATATTTTATCTTTTATAATTTTTTCAAAAAAAAAATCAAGACTAATAGAAATATAATCGTCGAAATCCAATTTTCCTTTTGTTAAAAAAAAAGGGGGGATGAGGATTCGACGAAAGGGGCATGAGGGGAGAGAGAAAGAGAGAGACAAAAAGAAAAGGATGAAAAAAAAAACGAAAAAGGTGAAAGGAAAAAAAAAAAAATTCTTGTTAAAACCGAATCGGTTCATTTCCTTCAATAAATCCGATAAAAAAAAAATTTTTTTCAACCCTCTCTGGAAAAAAAAAAATCAAACCAACCCCTTTCGATTGGAGTCCATCTAAAAGGATTCTTTTCTAAAGGGTCACTAAACAACGTTGCGGTTTTCCAAAAGCCTATTTTTCGATTTTTAACTTCATTAGCGAACGTACGGAAATGATTTACTACGTTTAAATGTTTTTAACGAACCGAACCGCGAACGGGATGATTTGTAAAATCTGATAATGGATT